GGCCATTCCCATGACTTTACGCGCGTTAATTGTCTTTTCTGACATCCAGAGACAACCTTGCCCATGTTATTCTTTTCTCTTTCTCTTTTATACGTTTTAGATTGTCATCTCCTCGTTCTCGCCCTTGTAGTATCATCTGAAAATATTAGAGAACATGTTCCAACACCATTTACCTCTTCAGCTTCAAGACCAGTTGCGCGAGCCCCGCACAGGCAGACGTAAATCCAGCGTTGTAGTCTGTTTGGAATATAATAAAGTGTCATGAGTGTTGGAAGTATGGCTTCCTACAGGGAAAGGTGCGGTTTCATGTCCTCGTGCAGCCATCGCGATAAGCATTGCATCCAGCACCCCGCCTCTGCACCAACGGATTCGCTTTACAACCTACCTGTTGCCACCTCATTTGTCACGTAGTTCCCGCAATCGTCTGAGTAGTCGTCGTTCTTTCCAGGCCCACCAACTATTGCTCCGTACAGGATGTTCGGCTGGGGGCTGCCCGAGCATCCACACCAGCCGTTTCCACAAGATGCGCCGCGATGGTGGGGAGCCCGGGGAAAGTTGTCACCGAACCCGATTTGATATGAATAGTAAGGCTGCTTAGTCTCTGGATTGATGTCCCCGCCAGCTTTCAAGATGTAATCGATCTGCGACTTGGCAAACGCTATGTACGTGGTCGGCTCCAAGCCATGCTTAGCCGCAACAAGGGCCAGGAAGGCCGTGTTGGCCGAGTACCGGTTTGGCGCCCACTTATCGAAAAATACTAATCCCTTGGGTGTTCGGGGCGTCTCGTACATCCAACTGTCCATAAAACCGGCGAATCCATCCGCGTATTTTTCCTTTTTGGTCAAGTCGTACAAAATAAGCTGCACGGCTGACGACTTCCGATCCCACGAGAACTCAGTCTTGTTGGTGACAGCACAGCAATTGTCGTAGTAGTCGTTTTCCGCCATTTTGAGATATTTTGCGTCCTTGGTCGCCTTGTATAGCCAGACAGCCGCCCATCCGAGCTCATCCCAATAGCCACTGTGCGGAGGGATGTTTTTGGTGTGAACCAATTGTATGCACCCAAATGTAGAAATTGCGTGCATCGCAGTAAGCGCAAAGTTGACACACACCTACCTGTAACTCTTGTAAAAGGGTGAGGATATGTCGGACGATCCTCGGTTTTTATCAGCAAGCTCAAAAAGGGATCGAGCCTTGGCCTTGAGCAGTGCCGAGTACGCGGTATCATCTTCGAAAAGTATCGAGCCAGCCGCTAAAGCCGCGGCCCCTTCAGCTGCAAACTCCGTACCGGGATTGTTGGGCGTAATGGCATAGGAAGGTCGGTTCATATTTAATGACTCGGCAGCGCCCCAGTACGAATGATCGGCGTTTCCATCTCCGACCTGCACATAGTATGTATCCTCGTTTGGATGACATTTCAGCAGGTAATCTAAAGGCCACTTGACAGTATCAAGAATATTTTTCATCTCTCCAGTCTTCTTCCAAGCGTCACCAAATTCTAACACTCCCCAAATCAGCGTGGTGGCACTCCATGCCATGGGAAAATTAAATTTCACGTGATCTCCAGCATCGTACCAGCCGCCTGTAAGATCAAGCCCATGATCCTGTCCATCACTTAGGGCACTGTCGCCACGCCAAGGAATACGATTATCCGAGGGCAATTTACCGCTCCGCTGTGCCTCATAAAATAATGTGGTGAGCTTCATCGCTTTGGGGTAATCAAGCTCAATTTCATTTTCCTTAGCGCTGCTCCTTAGTGACTTTGCCTCAATGCTACGGGTCCCACAGCTGACAGCGAAAAGAAGGAGTGCAATTAAACTTTGGCGAGTGTGCACGCACAACATGCTGAAGAGTTTTATCTTCTACGTGTAGGGTTCAAGTGTGGATTGGTTCTCGAATAAGATTTAAAAATGCACAATGAATCATATCGCATTATATTGATTACAGGAAAAAATCCTCCTGACCATGAGGAAAAAAGAAAAACGGAGAGAACACCATGCTTCGACGATTAGAAAGTGGGATATCAATACGAGATAAGGCGTGATTGTCGTAGTACATGTAAACGATTGAAAAGTGGATCCACTTTACCAGGTTTTTGTTTACATTGAGGTTTTTGTTTACATTGAGAGATTAAGTATTGACGAGAGTCCATGGTCAGAGTTGTCCGATCTTTTGCCATGTTTAAATTCACCATAAAGTTTGTTGGATCGCTTTGGCCGTGCCGTTTGGCCATAAAACGTTTTGAAACGCGACCGTTTCGCCTTTCTTCAAAAATTTAAACTCCAAAGCTAGGCGTGTCAAACAATTCTCTTCATGTGATAAACGTGCAATTTATGAGTCATGAGGTACACGTTCAGTAGGTATGTAATAGTATAATGTACCGGAAGAGATCCTTTGGCTGCGCTGTCGGCTGTTTGAATCACATGTCTTGTGGCATCAGCTGTTCGATTCCAAAAACACAGCACGATTATAATTCAGTCAAAGGCGATGTTGACGAAAAAAATCTTAAACAGTTTGGTAAAGTCACTGAAAAGTCATGTTTTTTCCTTTACATTGAATTGATTTCCCTCGATGGCTTTTCTCACACTTGCTGTGCAACGCTTTGGATGTTCTACGAAATCTAATAGATGAGGCACTTGTCCCACTGAGAGGCATATCACAACATCGGACACATGCATTCCCGACGGTGGGAAGACCTTTCACATCAAAGTCATTTCTTCTATGGAGAGTCGTTCCGCTTTCCGTCGCAGACCTCTCGACCAGCCCTTTCTGGACCTATCTCCTCCTCCTTTTCCACACCGGCGTGAATGGAATTTTCACATTTCCACCGCCCATCGTTGTGCTTTATGCTTTTCAAGAAACCATCTAGCAATTCTTCGCATCCCACGACGTCCACCAAAACGCTACGGCTCCCGCTCGCCACGAGTCGACTAAATCCTCCCCCGTTGCCCCACCACTCTTCGGCACTTCTCACAAACACATCGTATGTTGACAGTCCATGCAAAACGTGCACTCCAGCAGTTTGAATCTGTCGTACAGTATCTGTCCCCGAGTTTAGGACGGCCGCAAGCAATGCTAAATGCGCAAGGCCAATGCTAGACTCAAATGAAGAGCTGACCACAGAGTAGAGACCCTTCGTAAGCCCTAGAGAGTGCAAAGCCAAGCACTGCTTCAGACCGCCCAACACAGTAGGTTTCAGAACCAAAGCACACAAGCCTTCCATGCTCAAAAGCTCTATATACGGAAGAGGCGGACAAGCAAGGCTCTCGTCCAAGGCAAATCTCAAGCGCTGCTCTGTCTGTTTGTGGACCTCCGGGATGCAAAGAGGATCCTTGCATGGCTCTTCAAGATATTCGATCTTTTCAGGGTGCGATAGACCGCGAATGAAACTTACAGCCTCATCTGCGGACCATGCTTGATTGGCGTCCAGTCGAAGGCGGTGCCCAAATGTCAGTTCTGCCGTCAAATTGTTCACACGCGCCACGTCCTCCTTCACAGGGCGCCCGCCAACTTTAATTTTGCTGCTGCTCGATGTTGAAGTATCCATACTGGCTGTGAACGAGGCAGAAGAAGGCAACGAGGGGGTGGGGGACATCAAGGAGGAAGGAGGTACTGAAGGTAAGGAAGGAGAAGTGCGCAAAACGAGGCCATTCAAGCAGACCTGCCCCGTATGCAGGAGATGAGTGGGGTAACCCGCCTTCAGGACTCCTGGGATATCCACTCTGTACTCTTGCGCTAAAAGGTGCACCAACGCCATCTCCAGCCCTGCCCGCACCGAGGGCAGCAAGCTAACGTCACTTTCTAACCAATTCTTCCATGCGGCCAGCCCTTTGCTGCCACCGAGCTTGGGCAACGTCCGCCCGCGCAGGGCCACACTTATCTTTTTCACCTGCTTTTCCGCCTCCAAGAAGGATTCCTTGCTGAACCCAGGCAGTGGACTGGCTTCCCCGACGCCGACCGAGCCCGAGACGGCCTCCAGCACAAGGATGATCACCCGGCGATGCGTCAGAGGCGGGCCGGAGGATAAGACCAGAGGTTTCTTCAGGGCCACGGAGCACGTCGTCCACTGTAGGCTTGCTACACGCATGGGCTGAGCCTGCAGGGAGGAGGAGGATGACGATGTGGCAGCCAGTGAAGCAGGCGACGCCGACGGCCCTCCCTTGCTCTTGGACACCCCGCTCCCACCCCCAGCCGAACCCTTCCCGCTCTCTCTTTCCTGGGCGTCTTCCAAGTGGCGGCGCAGGAAGGCCGTGGTTTCGCGGAGCATCTCCATTTCCTTCTCGACCAGGACTGCGTGGCCCGCGTCGTCGATCCTTTTCACCTCTACCACAGTCCGCGTCACCCCGCCGCTGCTGCCAACCCCGTCCACCAACGAAGCCCGCAACTCCTCCCCCAGGCCCGCGTACTTGACATCGTTCGCGCCGTAGACTATTAGGGTGGGGACGTGGCCAGACCTCAAGAAATCCCACAAGGCCGGCTGCTGCGCAAGACTCATGCCAGCGAAGGCCCGACTCAGACCTCCCGGGTCCTCACTCCTTGCCAAGGCCGCTCGTCGCCTCCGCATCATACGGGCGTAGGAAGGAGACCGCTCCGCCAAACGACCCCACAAGGGTTTACTGTACCACCACCGTAGGAAAGCGCTCCATGCTTCCCCCCCCTCGTGCGCCGCCTCTTCGATCCGCCTGCCAAGCCGTCGTTCCTCCTCTCGCCGGTCCAAGCGCTCCCCTTCCGCTCTCAAGCCGGGGTGTGCGGACACGATGATCATTGCCGAGATACGTTGCGGGTATTGCTGGGCCAAGTACATGGCCAAGCGGCCTCCCAGGCTGTAGCCCATGACCGCACATTGGGCAATCCCAAGTCGGTCCAAGAGCTGAATTAGCGAGAAGGCAACGACGGGCATGGAGTAGGCCGCGGAGCAGCCAACTCCCGCACCGTGCATGGCGGTGGTACCGTGCCCTGGAAGGTCGACAGCAAGGCAATCGTAATCCATCGCTAGGCCTCTTCCCCCACTTCCCCCCGAAACGCCAACGATGGTATTGGGGCTGCTGCTGCTGCAACTCAGCCCAGCATTGCTGGCGCTCGCACAACCCCCTGCCTCCCAAAGGAGGGGTGTCCAATCCTCTTTGCACCCCAAAAAGCCGTGCAAGAGCAAGAGAGTCGGCTTGGTCCGGGGCCCCGTGCGGATCCAGTCGAGACGAAGCAACTGGGAGAGCCCGGCGTGGACAGTAGTCCGAATCTGGGCACCGAGCTGTCGGTGGATCCGTACGTTCTGCGCACGATCCGTGACCACCTCGATCAGCGAGGAGCGGCCTCCCGCTTGGCATGAGTGGAGTGCTGCGACAAGGTCCCCGGCCGACTTGCAGAGGTGGTAGGGCAGGCCGAAGGCTTGGGTGATGGGCCCGAAGTGGAGGTCGTGGGGGGAGTCGAAGTACGGACTGAAGACGTCCGCGTGCCGGGCGATGGGAAGAAAGGAAAAAATGCCGCCGCCGCCATTGTTCACCAAGACCACCGTGACGGGAGTGTCGGGGGCAGATGCAGAGGCGGAGGCTCCCGAGAGAGCGTGGAGGGCGTTTAAGTCGTGCAGGCATGCCATGTCCCCTACCAGGAGAGTGACGGGCTTTCCCAGCCCAGCCGCGTACCCCATCGCCGAGCTGAGGATACCGTCAATGCCAGAGGCACCGCGATTCATGGCCACGCTCGCCAAAGGGGCTGGAGCGGACGGGGCGCCGGCGGTGGAAGCGAGGGTGGCAAAGGTCTCCATATCACGAACAGGCATGCTGTTGGAAAGGAAAAGCCCGTGTCCGGCGGGCAACAGGCGAGCGACGAGATGCGCAGTCATCGGCTCGTTGAGGAGCCTGGAGTCTGTCGGAGCGGGAGACGGCGGCGACGAGGAGGGAACAAGAGACGGGTTGAGCGCGGACGGGGAGGAAGGGAAAGGGCCGGGCCCTGCTGGACCTAGGGTGTCGGCCTCGGGGCCCAACTCCTCCGCAATCTCGTGCTCGATCCGTGCCGCAAGGGTCTTCAGGAGGGACAGGAGGCCGCTTTGCCTGGCCTCGGGCTTTCGACGCCGCTCCCAGTCCAAAGACGCGTCCAGGTTGTGGACGAAGGTGGGGATGTCCGAGCAGACGTGGTGGGTGGCAGAGAGCTCGGGGTCCCGCCGAGCCGGGGAGGGGACGACGTGGATGAGTGCAGCGGCCCGGGAAGCCACCATGAACTTGGGCAGGCGCTTGCTCACCAAGGGCGAGCCGATCTGCAGGATCACGTCTGGGTCTAAAGCAGAGCTAATCAGTGGGTCGGCCAAGAGGGACTCGTACGGGGCCACCAAGAGATGTTTGAGCGCAGGATCGCACCGCAAGCCGGAGCCCATGTCTGCGAATATGGGCCACCGCAATCCCTGCGCCAGCCACCGGATATGCGCCCGATCTCGGCGTTGCGGCAGCCGGCCGATGACCAGAAGCCCCCTTTGAGCGTCGTGGATGGCGGCCAGCAGGTCGGAAGAGAGCGGGCAGGAGGGTCGAAGGCGGGGGAAGCACGTGTAAGGCTGCAGGCTCCGTTCCCACTGCGCAAAGCGCCGCCCTCCCAGGCAGGCGTCAGGCCATTCCGAGTGCAAACCCGGCACGGCCGTGTCCCTGACAGCCCCGCCTTCGGGAGCCAAGTTTTCTCGCAGCATGAAATTGAGATGAACGGGCCCTGGGTCAGCCCCGCGGGCCATGCTGACGGCGTAGTCGACGTCGGAGAGGAGAGAGGAGGCCAGGACCTCGTCGGACAGGGCACATCCTTGGTCCATCGCGCGAAATGCAAGACATGTCGGGCTGGGCTACCGTCTGGTTCGCACCGCAGTCTCGCTGCTCTGGAGGCCTGTCCGCGGTGAGCAATAGCAGGGGGACGCGGTCGGTCGCCGCCTCCACGGCGGCAGGCAAAAGGTTGGCAACGGCCGTCCCTGAGGTCACGATCACGGCCGCCGGACGCCCCCGCGCCCGCGCGTAGCCCAGGCAGTAGAAGCCCGCGCCCCGCTCGTCGTGGTGCACCATCAAGGTGGTGTCGGGGTGACGGGCGGCGGCCGTGACCAGAGGGGTCGAGCGGGACCCGGGGGCGATGACGAAATGGGTGACTCCGTTCCGGGCCAGCTCCTCCACCACCAGCGTCGCCCACAGGGTGGCCAGGTTAGGGAGGCTGCGTAGAGGCGGGGAGGGGCGAGGGAACATGCGGACAAAATTCGCCATTTTCGCGCCAATTTCCGCCCACTCCCCCTCGGCCGTCGACCCCGGCACGATCCCTGCCCCGGCGAAGACATGAGCCCGCTCGCGCACTATCAGCACCGATCGAATCGCCACCGCAAACTCGGCGCTCTCGCGGGATAGGAATCCAATGGGCCCCGCGTAGAAGCCGCGGTCAAAGGGCTCGAGCTGACGAATGGCCTGAAGAGCCGTGAGACGAGGCTCGCCCGCTACAGCCGGCGTGGGATGCAGGGCAGCCAAAAAGTCGAAGGCGGAGGAGGAAGAGCATGTCTCCGGGCTTTCCCTCCAATCCTCTTGCGTATCGCTTTCGGAAGCAGCACCGCTTCTTCCGCGCAGCCGGCCGGTTATTTTGTGACAGATATGCTGCACGTGTTGCAAGCGCAGGACGAAGGCGGGAAAGCGCTCCACCCTCCCCCCTTGGACCAAGGGCCGCAGGGCATCTTCGATCGACTCCGCCGTAACCCGATTCTCGAACCGGTCCTTGTGAGAGGCCATCAGCTCCGCAGCCAGGGCCTCGTCCTCCTCCGGCGTCTGACCGCGGGGGCGAGTGCCCGCCAGGGCTTCGGTAGAGATCGCCCCTCCCGCGACGCGGAAGAGCTGCTCGGGCGTGCACCCCAGAAAGGCCCGATCGGCGTCCAGCTGCAGACAGAACAGGTAGCCGTAGTGCCCTCGAAGCCGCAGGACCAGATCCAGGGGACGCGGCTTTCGGGGAAAGGTAAAGTGCACGGCGCGGGCCAGCACCACCTTCCGATACTCCCCCGCCTGCATGGCGGCCAGGGCCTTCCCGACGCCTTCGTGCCAGGCGTCGAACTGGGACGGCTCCTCGCACGAGACAGGGGCGGGCAAGAGCGCGTCGCCGGCCCCCTCGTCGTCGCCGTCCGTGGCCGCCACTTGCACGTCGCGAAGGAGATGGAGCAAGGCCGTGCGCCCTGCCTGCAGTTCTTGGACGTTACTGAATCGGAGGTTGAGGGCCAGGAGGAAAGACCCGTCCAGGGGCCCGTCCCCATGACGCGTGCGGCGGATCAACTCCAAGGCCGGCAAAACCAGGTAAGAGGTGCCAAAGCCCTGCCACTCCGCGGATGGATGAGGGTACTGTGGGTCAAAGCGGCCGCCACCGTAGTATGTCACGGCCGCAGGCACGTCCTTCCCGCACAGACCGAGCTTCTCCTTGGAGGCACCGAGCTCCTCCGCCCCCCCTACACAATGGGCGGCTCCAACGCCAGCCACGACCAGACCTCTCTCGGGGACTCGGAAAAAAAGGCGTGGCATGAGGCGCTCTGGCTGCCCTCGCAGCCAAAGTAAGGCGCTCTCTTCGTCTAGGATGTCTGAGACGGGGACCTCAATGCGCACAAATCGAGGCGGGGCAGATGAGGACTCGGCGGCGGGGGTGGTACAGGGAGCCTTTTCGGAGATATTGCTTGATCGAGAGGCCGGTGGAGACAGGGGAGAATGCAGAGAGGGTATTGCCATGTCTCGCACCGCATCCATCAGCAAATCACGGGCTTTACCCAAGGGTACTGGGAAAGCATGATACCCGCCTATCCGATGGTGCCCACTAAGTGGCAGGCCAAAGTAAGGAATAAGTGGGGGCGTCGACATCGAGGTAATTGGAGAAGAGCAGGAAGAAGAGGGACATGAACAAGACGCCGTGTCCACTTCCATTGCTTTCTCGTCCTTGCTTCCTGCAGTAGTCATCCCCTCTCGCTCAGGGGAGGATGAGCTATGGAAGTGCAGCCGTCGATTACCGCTTCCGGTCTTAAAACCAGAACTGTTGCTGCTATTTGTCATCCCGCAATTCTTCGTGCTTCCCGCGACGTACCGCTCATCTAGCGCGGCTACCATGAGTGCCTACTGCGGAACCGCATCATAAGGCCAAGCCTCCCGTCGTAGCTGTAGGCGTATAATTGAAGACAAGATTACACATGAAAAAAAATGTATGACGAGAATCCAAAAGGCTTTGAGTGTCTTTTACCACTTTTAAACATCATTAAATTGCTATTAAGATTCCTAATTCCTTATTTGGGGGGGTACACGCGGCTGGAGATGGCATATGCGCTGGCCCTGCTTGGACTGACCCGGGATGCAGAGCTTCAAAGCTCCCGAACGTGCGGGTCTCGTCTATCGAGCGAGAAACATCATCTAGCGGTGTAGCTGCCCCCGGCGTCAGGCGTGGCCGCTTTTGTGGGCTGCCCAAACAGGTCGCCTTACTCCGTTTGCATCCACGCTTTATTTGTAAGAGAAAAGGAGTTGAATGGCTGGTTTACGGTGGGACACTTCGAAAAGTGCGTAAATATCGCTTCGTCTCATTGCGAGACCGCCCGAGAGAGAGGGAAAATCCTTCCATTCCGCGGACAATGGCTATCAGCATCCCATAATCAACATTACATTGTTTTCATAGACAATGACGTGAGATATTTCATTACATCGGAAACTTTCCGCTTTATGTAGGTCCGGGAAAATGACAATTTGGCGCAGCTTCGCATCCGATTGGAGAAGACAGAAAGTCCAATTAAAGCCCCACACAGGAATCATTTTCATACGTGCGCACTCATTGAATAAATTTCTCACCAATCTTCCACGAAAAATATTTTCTTACTTTTTTTTTCATGCACAAATAAGAAATTAAGACACATTTGTTACATTCTAATAGAAAGGAACATCGAGGAGGCGCAAAATCTGCCATTGATAGATGACCAGATACCCGAGGACCTGTGTGTTTCGATGTCCGTTTGGCCGAGTGGTTAAGGCGACGCCCTGCTACTTGATTCCAAATCACTTCATGCCGACAGGCGTTGTGCTTTGCACGCGAAGGTTCGAATCCAGATTCGTTCTGCCCCACGATCCCGTGACAGCGAGGGCAGCAATCGTTCAATTCAGCGGACGTCTACGTTATTTTTTTATTTCCTACCACTCTATAGTCTTTTTCGCTATGGCAGCATTTCTCTGCATTCGCAGGGTCACAAGATTTTTAGTTCTTTACTTTTCTTTCTTCAACATGTATTCTACGTGCAATTTTCCTCCACGACGTACAAGAAGCCGCGCATCAGCCATTCAGTTACTACGTCTACACATTCCAAACTCTCCCGCAAAACGCTGCTAATATCTTGCAATGGAAAGGGTGAGGCCCCCCCGGTCAAACAGTTGCAAATCCGCCGCCGTCGCTCTTCGTCCTCGTCTCGTAAATCCCAGACATGCCCATCGACGAACAGCAGGCGGCCTCCATCCGCGTGCGCGAACTTGAGTCCCTCCGCCCGGTAAAGCTTTCGCGGCATGGACGCTTGAGTTGCCCCCTTTTCTTCTGTTTCCCTTGACGACTCCCACCCAAGCAACTCTTGGACGA